ATAGACACGTGGGTTTATTTATAAACTCTGAATTATATTCCACTGATCTACATGTCTATCATTATACCAATACCGTACTGTTTTGATAACTGTAGCTTTGTAATAAGTTTTGAAATTGGGAAGTGTGAGTCCTACACTTTTGTTCTTTTTCAAGAGTGTTTTGGCTATTCTGGGTTCCTTGCATTTCCATATGGATTTTAGGATCAGTTTGTAAATTTCTGCAAAGAAGCCAGCTGAGATTCTATAGGGATTGTGTTGAATCTGTAGATAAATTTGGACAGTATTTCCATCTTAATATTATTATCTCCAAGCCACAAATGTAGGCTGTGTTTCCATTTATTTAGATCTTCTTTAATTTCTTTCAACAATGTTTTATAGTTTTTAACAGTAGGTTTTTGTTGTTGTTGTTGTTCTTTTGGGGTTTTTTTGCAGCTACCTTTTTTTGACTTTTTAAAAAATTTCAGCATATTATGGGGATACAAATGTTTAAGTTACCTTAGTTTTTAACAGTATTGCTTTTGCACTCCTTTTTAAAAATTTACTCCGAAATATTCTATTCCTTTAGATGTTATTGTAAATGCAATTTCTTTTGTACTTTTATTTTTGGATTCTCTCTTGCAATTTATTTGTTGAAAAAAACCACACTGTTTTCTCTATAGAGTTTCTCCTCCCACATACACACATACACCTGCACCCTAAAACCAAGTCTGAATGTTGTTGCTTACATCGTTGTGATATTATTTAATATTATTTCCCTTGTATTTGTCCAAAAATTCATAGTTATATCCAGAGAATTGATCAGATTCAAATTTCATTTTTTGACAAAAAAAATACATCATAGGTGCTGCTTTGCTTTTTTGTCAGGAGGCATATATCAGGTTATTACTCTTTTATAATGTTATCAGACATTAATTATCATTGCCTATAACCATTAATTTATTAAGGGTTATAATTTTATTAGTCCTTCTTAATTTATTAGGCGGAAATCTAGTGAAAATGTTTTCCTCACCAACTATTTGGTTACACCAAGGAAGAGTGTGTATGTGAAAAGCAGGTTAAATGTTTGATTCATTCTTTTTATTTACCAATTTCAGAATAATGAGTTAGGTTTCTCCAAGGTGACCAATTATATTTTTAAGTATTTTTATGAACTTGTATATATAAACATATTTGATATATTTCAATCTTTTGTAGTTATTATCTTTACTAATGCTCAAATTACCCCATGTTTGGTTAGAGAGAACCTCTTCAAATTGACCCCCAAGTCCTTTTTTTCCTTAAACTATTGCAATAATGGTACCATCCCAAGTCCGTTTGACATGACCCTAGATGTGTTTGTTATTTTCCTTATTATCTGGTGTGACAAGATATTCCAGATTCATCTTGAACATTCCTTTCCACAGACCCAGAATCAACCATTTCTCTAAGAAATCTTGGTTCCTTTTAATGTGAAATGTTATTTAGAACTGTTATCTGAGCACTGGAGGTGCTTTTTGGCATTGGGATCTTCATTGTTTCTAAGTATTTTTAGTGGGCAGAGCTTAAAAATACATACATTTTTAAAATAGCAAAATTGAATTCATACTGATGCTTTCAATAATTAGATAATCTTAAGAGATCTTTCTTTTAGGCTATGGAAAAAAATGACAAAGTATTCCTATTCTGTAAGATTGTCCAAATGCCAAGTATTAAATAAGTATGTATCACCAGAAATAGTGACTTGCTTTTGGATAATGATAAGTAAGTGATTGACAAACTCTTAGTATCCAATTTCCTCTTTACACACCTATGGCTACCATATTTTCTGAATAAAACATTGGATTGTGGCAGGCATGGTGGCTCACACCTGTAATCCTAGCACTCTGAGAGGCCAAGGCAGGAGGATCGCTGGAGCTCAGGAGTTTGAGACCAGCCTGAGCAAGAGTGAGACCCCATCTCTACTAAAAAATAGAAAAATTAACCAGGCATTGTGGTGCATAACTATAGTCCCAGCTACTTGGAAGGCTGAGGCAGGAGGATGGCTTGTGCCCAGGAGTTTGAGGTTGCAGTGAGCTTCAATGATGCCACTGCACTCTATCTGGGGCAACAGAGCTAGACTCGGTCTCAAAAAAAAGAATCATTAGATGGTCTCATGAATATTATTAATATTATAAGTATGGGGACAACAGAACAAAATATTTGAAATCAGGACTATGGAAAATATGAAATGTGTAGTTGCCACATAGATACTCTAGGCCAAGGATGGCAAATACTTTGGCTCATTCATGAGAGTCATCACTAATTACTCTTTCCTACTGAGCTGAATGCACCTTGCAATCCTCCACAGAATAATTCCACAGAAAGCCACTCCAATCAATCAAAATGACATCTCTTGCCATCCATGTTCAAGACAAACTAATGTCCTTCTGTTACCACATTACAACTTTGTACAATTGATTGAAATAGCAGTTGCTAAATCAGGTCCTGAGATGTACTAGCCCTGTTAATAGGTGTTCCATAAAGAAAAGGAATTTGTGTTAACAAAATTTGGGAACTAGCGGATTTAAGAAAAACAACAGATTTCTTTACTTCAGTGCTCCAAGAACCTTTTATGTTCTACTAATATACAAGGTTACTCTTCAAGAAGAAAAATAGTATGCAATGTTTATAAACTTATTTGAACCGTTCATAGAACACTTTTGTACATAGCATCTTGCTAATGCTGGACTAGGCTTTTCTTTTAAATTAATCACATTCCAATTATGTCTTCTTGAAGCTCAGGTCATGTATTTCAAACTGACCCGGATGGAAGATTTTTGGAGATAATTAATCTTGTTCATTAAATGTTGAATTTCGTGTGTGTGCACGTGCGCATGTGTAGGTCACTCTCTGAAGGTAACCTTATCTCTGATATCTAAAGGCAATCCTGGTTTAGCCTCCTATCTACCAACCACGCTGATTCTATTTCTTTGAGTGTGTAACTATATTGTTAAGATAGTATTATATTTATTTTATTGTGCATGTAGGGAATAGTTTGACAGACCTCAATTATGGATCATTGGGAATAGTCCATCTGAGATCCACAAAACCATTCACAGCTGTTACTTTGGATCTTTGTGCTGTCCATTTTGTGCTCTTCCCTCACAACTAGTTGCTTCTGTTCTAGGTGGACAGTAGTTGCTTTTCAAGTGACCTCTAGAGCGTCTTTTACTGTAGGATTTGCAGTTAGGAGTCTTTCATATAACATAGTATTTTGCTTACTCCTGGGGGTTCCAACATTCTCCAAATGTGTGATGACTTCAGCAGTTATGAGATCCTGACTACAGAATGAGGTATCCAGGAGTAGAAAGTAAAAGACCCTTAAAGTTTGCAAGTAAGTTTGGGGGATTCTCAGAAATGATTAAACTATTGGAAAATAGCATCTATGTGAGAGACAAAGGAGTCTCTAGATTATTATACCTGAAGATGAGAGACTGTAGTATGAAGAACTGTTATTTAGAGTAGTTCACAAAACAATTTATTGGTGTGTAGAAAGAAAACACTGGAACATCAATATATTTATTTTTCTCATTCTTTTTAAATGTGTTGGAGTATTTTTACTATATATGCATTATAATGTATGTATAAGATAATGTGTAACATGTATATGCACAGTACATGTATACAATCTATAAATACAGATACATAATTTGGGGCCCATCAGTTTAGAATGTGCAAGTTAAAAAAGCTGATTTAGAGGATTGTGTTCATTTCTCCTCCATCAGAAGAGTGTTTTCATGTGTTTGTGTGGGGAGTGAGGCTGGTTTAAATAGGAGCACAAGGAATTCAGTTAGATCCATGTATTTTATTTTAAAATAACAATTATTGATTATATAGCATTCATTCATATTCATCAAATATTTTCTGAGCATGGCCTATGCATTGAGCATTGCTCTAGGCTCTGGGGACATGATGGTGAACCTAAACAGTTATAGTCCTTGACTTTATAGTGCAATATAGTTTAGTGGGGAAGACAGCTGTCCACCATTAATCACACACTTAAATATACCATCATAAACAGATAAGTGTTATGAAGGAAAAATACAGCAAGCTACAGGCTATGAGAGAATAAATGGGGCACTGTCTCTATTCTGGGGTTATCAGGAAAGGTTATCCTGAGAAGTGACATTTAAGTTGGGGTCTGCAGGGATTGATTGAATGGTTGTGAAAGAGGTAAAAGGAAAGTGGCCTAGATGGAGGGAGGACATGTGTGAGGGCCTTAAGGGGGCATGTGGCAGGGCCAATGCCACACAGGAAAGGGTTTCAGACAATAGGGAAGCTTCAGAGATGGGTGTGCCTGACAGAGAGGTAGAGTGCAAGCTAAATGACCTCAGGAGCTTTGTCTTTCTTTTACTCCAGGGGAAAAAGATACACAAACTAGTTGGAGGTAGCAGAGGACAACAGGAAATCCACCCTGGAACAGTTCCAGGAACCTCAGGTAATGCTGTCCGTGTGGCCCTACAGAACGTTAGCTGGTAAGAGTAAAAGGCAATGTGTCTTCTATGCCTGAGCTACAGATGTGGACCTTTCCTTATGGGTTGTCCTGAGAATTTCATGAGCAGTAGCTAACTAGAAGGCCTAGTAATGCGCTGTGATCATGTGTTTTTCTGAGTTATTTGAAACGAGAGGATGTATGTGCTATCCCCTTGGCAAAATTAAGGAATTTGGAGCCAGGAAAATGAGGGAGATCGGGAGGGTGATTGCAGAAGTGGGGCAGTGGCTAGCCCTGCCTGAGGGCTTAGGCCCCAGGCTGCAGAGGAGCTACGTGGGAGAGCAATATTTGACGGTCCATTGTCGCTGTGCCTACTAATAGGCTAGGGGAGGGGAAGGAGGACAAGGGAAGCCCGGAGTTGGACGCTGAGCGTGAAAGAAGAGTGGGCGAGCCAGGCAGCGCTTTCCACATAGGAGGGCGGGAGGCAGCCACACCGGGTCCCCAGCGCCAAGAAAGGGGCACGAGGAGGCGGCGCGGGCCCCGCCCCCTCCCCCGGCGGGCGCGGGCGCGAGACGCTGCGCGGCGGCAGCAGCGGGCGCGAGCGGCAGCTGTCAGGCCACCGAGGTCCAAGCCGCACTTGCTGCCCCATTGAGGACGAGGCGGCAGCAGGAGCGGTGTCTCTGAGAAGCCAGACTGCCGGCACGCAGAACTGAGCTGTCCCGCACCGCGGCCCTCTCGCGTCTCCTTCCCACCGCACTGGGTGAGGTGCCTGCGCCTGGGCAGGAAGAGGGGCTGGAGGACCCGGGAGGCGGGCGGCCTGTGGGAAGGAGAAAGGGAGGTCTAGGTGACCCCCGGGGCCACTCGCAGCTTGGGAAAGGGGCTTAAGCGATGCTGGGGCCGGAATTGGGGGGCAGGTGACGGTGGAGGGGGGCGTTGCTGAGTAATCCCGAGCGGCTGCCACAGCCGGGCGAGAGGCGCAGGGCTCCGTGGGGAGCGGGTGTGGCCCAGTGCGCATGCGCCACAGCCGACTCGCTCGAAGAGCAGGGGCTGAGGTGAGAGGACCTGGGTCTGAGGTAGTTGGGACTATGCGTGCCATCTCACTTTTTAGGATCCTAATGCTAACAGTGCCCCTGTCGTAGAGATGCCAGCATCCCAGGTCTCCTAAGGAAGCTTCCTTTCCCTGTACTCAGCTGGCTTAATGTAATCCAAATCCTATCTACCTATTTGTCTCCGGGCAGTCTACTCGGGAAGAAGTGGCCTGGGGACAGTGCCAAATTGCTATCTAGTGTGCCTTTGGGCTTATAGCCCCAGAGCTGTGGTTGTGACGAGTGAAAGGTTACACGTGAGATTCCACCTTGAACCCTTGAAGTTGCATAGAGGATGTAACTGTGAGCATGAATGTGGGAATAGCGTTTCAGTGACATGACGGCTGTGGCATTTGGACTCATAGCATGGATGTAGCGGATGATTTGTTAGCTCTGCAAAATTAACCCAGTGCGTCAGAGGGCTTCCCCGCTAAGGGGCACCACCCCCACCCCCACCACCACGCATCAGGTTGTATTGGAAACAACCTACACCATTTAAGTTAGAGGGTCTCAAAGATCCAATCATTTCTTATTTATGTTGATTTTTACATAGATTAATAAAAGCCACGCCTAATTCTCCAGGGCAATATTTCCAAATATTGTGCCAGCATTCAACAGTGAGTTGAGTAGCCCTTACCACTGTGTGGCCACAAGATGGGCTTTCCCCACAGGTCCAATCATGGCTCCTCCCCTGTGCAGACTTCCATTAGGGCCACTGTCATCCACTGCCTAGCCCTCCCCTCTTGCTCTTCCCCCACCCAGCCTGCAGTACACATCCCTCTCAAGACTTGCTCCTGAACAATCTGCACTACTGATTTTTGAGCATCATTCCACTCCATGGCAACTGAACTGACGTTATCAATTTGCTTTTCTGCCTCTCTTGGCTCCATCATCACAAAATGTATTATTTTCAAAGGTTCAACCTCTTTCTTTCCATTGTACTGCCTCCTCCCCCACCTTCACCTCTACCCCAAAACATCCCCAACTAAACACAATAATATTAATTAGGCTATGTGGGTGCAGGCACAGCAGATTCAGAGGGTTGCAAGTGTGTTAAAGAACAAAGAACTGAGGAATATTGGTTACATGAATTCCTAAATCACCTTACTGTCTTAGGCTGAGACCCCAATTGGGAAAAAAAGTGAATAAATTATCCTTAGAGAGTGCTCATTAATCTGGTAGGGAGTAGGAAAATGGAATTGCATCTCTTGAATATTTGAGTCAGTTAATGCCAGATCTTTCTCTGAATGGGACCAAAATTAAAATAAATATTTTGGTCCAAATCCTAGCTTGATAGGGGACCCATAAAAAATGCATAAGGCATTTGACTTTCCTAGTAAACATACTTAGGGTTACCAAAAAATTCCTTTGTCTGCTTAATGCTACCTTCTTTTAAGGTTTGGATTAAATCGGGTATATTCTGGGAGAGGAAAAAAATTGTTTCATTTGCTTTTACACTGTGCTAGTTCTTTTTAATTTAAGCGTCTACTAAAGACATCACATTCATTTTCAAACAAGGATAAATAATAGTGGAGATGCCAGCACCCACTGACAACATCAAGTAGAGATAATTATTCTGCTCTTGGTTTTTGTGGGAATGGAGAAATATATATACATATTTTTAAAATGTGAGGGGAGAGGGAGGAGAGGGAAACGGGAGCATTTTCCTTAACTTTCAACAGGTAGAATTTCTGTTAAGTCCCATTTGGAAAATGATCCAGATAAGTTCATAACTTCTGCTCTTTAGTCACCTTATAAATAATAGTATTTGGACATCTTACAGAACTATGGATCTATTGTACCTTGGCATCAATTCATAGGCATTAATTCTGAGGATCTACCTCATCAGTTAACTCATAAACAAATATTTATTGGGTTATCCATGGAGGATCCTGTGCTGCATGCTAAAGGGGCTTCAAAGATATATACAAACAAGGGCCTTACTATCCAGGAATTTAAAATTGGTTGTGGAGAGACATACTTAGAAAAAAGTTTGTTAACAAAATAAGGCAGTATAATGATACGATTTGAACTGTAAACCTTGAGATCTCAAGCTTATATGTTGATTTGTAACTTCTTGAGGGCAAGACCTAGCCTTAAACATTTATACATTTCCATTTCCAACAGTATCTGCACCCAGTGGGTGTTCAAGGGATGAAGCTTTGCAAAGTAGATTGGGTGGGGAGAAACCAAAGGCAGGGAGAGAGGAGCCAGGAAGCTTTCACAATAGATTAGATGTAAAGAGATGCAGGCCAAAAGAAGGATGGTAGCAGGGGACTAGAAAAGGATATTTTGAGGAAAAATCAGCAGGACTTAGTGACCTAAGGCAAGGCAATGAGCCTAAACTGTATTCATTTCTACTTCTAGCAAACAAATAGGAATTGGAGACAGTAGAGGATAGTGAAGGGTCACGTTAGTAAGGACACAGCGCACAGTAGGCACTCAAAGCATCAGTAACAGGATTGGACCAGAAGACTCTTAAAGTTTCTCCTATACTGAGATTCTGTGCCATGTGTAGATGCTCAAGATTGTTGAGGAACAAGTCATTCTTGGATATGGAAGAAAGAGAAAAAGAAGAATTGTTATCCTCCCACTAGCAGGCCCTTTCTGAAAAGGTTTAATATTGAGCCACAAGGCCCCCACCAGTGAATGGAATGAGATGAAGAAACAAGAGGAACAAAAATCTGACACCAAATTTTTCAAGAAATGCTTACAAATCTTCGAAAATTTCATAAGATATTAATTCTTCCCCAAATCCAGTGAGTTAAATAGGGCAGGTATTATCTACTCTATTTTTATATAAGAAGATATTGAAACAGAGAGAGATTAAATTACCTGCCCAAATTCATAAAATAAATGAATAATATAGCAGTGATGAAGACCCTGAAATCCTAATTGCTACCATCCAGGGCTCTCGACAGTAAACCACATTGCTTTTCCTATTTTCTCCTTGGCATAGAGCCTATGTACCCAGAAGTTATGTGTGCACGTGACCAAATAGGGAATGCACAAACAACTGCAGCATTATCTCAGATAGTTATTAATACATCATCATTATTCCTGGAGCTGAGCATTTGGTTTCCATATTCACTCAGTCCTTGACCCATCCGTTGAGTTTATCTGCAGCCAAGAATGTAGGGTCAATGAATCATTTAATGATGTGAACACCTGTTTGCTAGGAACTTAAGGAAGCTCATTTGGCATGGACGCTTAATACCAGCCATCAGTATCATGCCCAAGTTAGTACTTCTGTTACTTTTTCAAATAAGAGTTCAAGAGTTCTGCTCTGTAAAATTATCCTGCAGACCAGTATAAAAACTATAGAAGTGTGCTAACACTTGTTTCATCTCCATTTAAAGAAACGTTTTATACTTGGGCTAGTTCCAAAGACAGCAATTTGAGAGCAGGAAAAAAAAAAAGACAAAAATCAGGAATTGTAGGAAATTTGAGAATTCTGTAAAGTAATTATAGACCAAAAAGGAGTATAAGGCCTATTGACTTAGGAGTTATTATTTAAATTCATGATTACTGATTTAGATATATATTAAATCCCTTATATGCTTTATCTATATTTGAAAAAAATAACATGGCATTATTAAGCAACAGAGTTTTTTTAAAAGCTTCTTTAGTCCTCAGTAAGAAAGGACACTCAACAACTCTAGGAGCTATTTTTCTTTTTAAACCAGTACACTTGATGCTGCTTAAATAATATTCTTGCTATAATTCCCTATAATATTAAATGAAGGTGTGTTTGAATTTAATAAGGCCAGCTAAGTACTTTTAAAACTTGTATTCAAGACAGATGACATAAATTAATGGATTAAATAATTAGCCAAGAGAAGATACTGTATTGTAAATAGGAAACCCACAAACATAATTTTTTCCTCTTCTTATGCCTCTTCTTAAGTTCGAGGCAGATTGGTGAGTGCACTAATAACTTTCTTAGAGATAGGAATGTTGGTAGGTATAAAGGGAAGTAGTTTCATCTCTGACTTAGGATTTCAACATATCTTAGATTACTCTGTGCTTTCTCTTTCCTGAATATCATCTATTGTGAATACCATCTTCTCTCTTTGATTTACTTTTACTTTGAATGGCAAATTCAATGGAAAGATAACATAAAACTAAAAAATTATATAAAGTATATAGGACAAGTTAAAGTTCTTGCAATAAAATTATTTTGCTTATGTTAAACATTTATAACATTTGGAACTCTTAAGTACATTGGGGGGAAAGCATCCTCTATAGGTTACTTGAGGTTGCTCTGGGTTCTTTTTTTTCCTGACTTGAATGTATTTTTACATATAGCCTTAACTTTATTTTATTACAGATTTTTTTAAAAATAACATTTCTGATTCTGTTTTTTAGAACTCTAAAAAGAAAGAATAAAACAACATCAGGAAAAAAGAAAAAGATTAGAATTGTGACAAAAAACCAACTGGGTAGGTATTTCATGGGGGCCCACTATGATTTTTAGATATTTTTAAATTTGATCTCTACAAATGAATATTTGGAAAAATATATAGTTAGTACCCATGCATTCCAAAATAATTTTAAGGACTACTGAGTTTGTTGAATTACATACCAAATGTGTATGCTTCCAGAAACTCTTTTGCATATGCTCCTTTGATTAGTGATTAGTTTTCATCCCTTTGTGTCCCTTACATAAATATCGCCTGTTTATCCTCGCCATTGTTGAGTTCACATAATGAACCTAATATGAAAGTACCTAACAGAATATAGCAAAAGGTATTTAGTCAGTAAGCATTTGATGATTTTATTTTAAGATGCATTCTAGGTATTCCATGTGTAGACATGTTGTAAAGGTAACAAGAAGGGTACCATATGATTATTAGCACTTTAGATTTTATTGTATGTTTTCATATGTTACTATTAAGGAATTAAAACCTAAATCCAAAAACTAATAAGCTATTCAAGATTTTCTCCCTTAATGATAGCTATTATAATCATATCAGTCAACTGTCATCAACTTAGTGCCATTGTTCCATAAGAAAAGATTATGAAAGATCCTTAGGAGGGTATCCATATCAATGCAAGTATAAGGGGCTAAATGCCTGAAGAAATTTAACCTTTTTCTCTCTTCCAGATTCTGGGATCCAGTCTAATTCTGGCCCAGACCTCTATAGACAGAATCAAGAATCCAACTTTCACAGCTTTCTCTTTTCAATAATTTTTGGTTTCATTGGGAACAGATTTCAAATCCTAAATAAATTTCATACTATTTAAAAAAATTTTTTTCATACTATTTGCCTCTTGTTTGGAACTGTCCAAACTGGAAGGTAAAATAGTCACACATTTAACTGGCATTCCTGTTCTAGGCTCTCTCCCTAGAATAGGGTCAGAACTGAACCAAATTACAGGACCATCTGCTAGTCCATTCACCCATGGCATTCAGCCATTTTTCTGGCACAGACAAGAGACCTCAGAAAACAAGACCTATTTTCCCCCTTATGCAAAAAAGAGTTTTATTTCTTCTGTACTATATCAATTAATAAGCATGAGTCAAGAGAAGTTAAATTAGAAGGCCTCATAATTTAAAGAAATTTGCTATGAGGTTGATTTCAGTTTCAGGTTTAACTGTTTTCCTTCCTACATTTTCTTTTATTTTCAGGTTCTCTTGGTTAAAAAGTCCTTCCCTTCTGGTGCTGCAACAATGAGTGGGAAATCCCTACTCTTAAAGGTCATTCTCTTGGGTGATGGTGGAGTTGGGAAAAGCTCACTTATGAACCGTTATGTAACCAATAAATTTGACTCCCAGGCTTTTCACACCATAGGGGTAGAGTTCTTAAATCGAGATCTAGAGGTAGATGGACGCTTTGTAACTCTCCAGATCTGGGACACTGCAGGGCAAGAACGTTTCAAGAGCCTTAGGACACCCTTCTACAGGGGAGCAGACTGCTGCCTCTTGACGTTCAGCGTGGATGACCGGCAGAGCTTCGAGAACCTTGCTAACTGGCAGAAGGAATTTATCTACTATGCAGATGTGAAGGACCCTGAGCACTTTCCCTTTGTAGTTCTGGGTAACAAGGTAGACAAAGAGGATAGGCAAGTGACTACTGAGGAGGCACAAGCCTGGTGCATGGAAAATGGGGATTACCCTTATCTAGAAACTAGTGCCAAAGATGATACTAATGTGACAGTGGCCTTTGAAGAAGCTGTCAGGCAGGTGTTGGCTGTAGAGGAACAGCTGGAGCATTGCATGTTAGGTCACACCATTGACTTGAACAGTGGCTCCAAAGCAGGATCTTCATGCTGTTAAAAATAAGGAGCCTTTAAAAGTGTGCCCCAACTTGGTCAGTCAATAGTATATGAATAACTGTGCCCCTCTAAGAGTGCACACATGCACACAAGAGGGTAAGAGATAAGGTTCTGATTGTGAAACAGAGCCTTTCAAATTGAAGTTGTTGAACGATTTAAAAAAAAAAAAAGCTTTATCAAACCAAGTGTATTTTGCGTGATTTCTGCTACTTCCCCTTCTTGTGTGTCTCAGGACTTATCTGAAAGTTTTAGTCCTGAGAGGTTTAAATATTTTTAAAATCACAGTTTAAACGTAGATCCCAGCCGCATGAAGGAGTTAAAGAGCTACAGCTATCCCTTAAAGCATTCCATTAATCAACTAACAAATGTCACCATCAGACTCTTGCCAATCAGTTTCTGACATTTCTGCCAAAGGGAAAAAAATAAGACTCTGAGGTGTATTACAATAAAAATAATGATGCAAACAAGAATTCCTAAGCTTGAATTATAAAGAGGTTATAACAATTGGGAATGCAAAAGTATTATGACGTATACTGACTTGTGTAAATCCTTATGTATGGTGTGCTCCCATTTGAGCTTTCCAAAATATACCATCTCAATAAGAGATACTCTAATGACACTGGAAATTGATTATATTCCTTGTGTTTGAAGTCACAGGATACTAGTGAATGGATTATGCTTAAATATGCCAACCACCCTTGCAAATAAATGGTTGGCCTGCTTTTACTTCATAAGTCTACTTTTGCTGCATAAAGATGTTGCTTCTCTGACAAAACCTCTTATCAGTTTAGCAATGCTGCTTAGTATATGGCTTTGGGTGCAGTGCTTTCTGCTCATAATTTAGATGGTCCTTTGATCCACCATGCTGGGCTTACGGAGAAGGCTTCAGAAAAGATAATGGGCTTTTCTCACAAGGTTCCTTAACTCAAATATTTATTATTTATTGTAGAAGGAACTGATTTCTTATATGTTGCACTGTATGTTCAGCCGGCCAAACTAGGACATTAAAAGTGACAAAAGAGCAGATTTTAACCCTGCATTAGAATGAATTTCTTATAATTAGAGTTGTCCAACAGTGGAATGGACTGCCTTAATAGTAAGCTCCCTTCCAGTGAAAATATTCCCTGGATGACCATCTGTTAAAATACCATAGAAGGAATTTCTTTACTGGCTACATGTCCAATATAAGGTCTCTTTCGGCTCTAAGTTCAATGAATCTATAAACTGTGTCAGTGCCGTGCTGTGGTTAGATTTATCTGAAGATAACAGCTAAGACTATGGAGAGGGACTTTAAAAATTCTCAAACCATTCTGTGATCAGCTTTTAACAGCAACTACATAGCTGTTCCTTTTGCTTTTGCACTGTGGCAGGAAAAATTCCTAAACTCTGAGTAATCTTTATGAGCCCTGATATGAACACCCTAAAGATACCATATTAAAATATTAATACAAAAATGGTTTGACAATTTTTGATTGCTATGACTGCCAGTTATATACTGTATTATGAATATGCAGTCTGGTTATTGTTGGTTGATCTGTTTGTCCTGAGGAGTTTTTAATCTGTACTTCAAAACATCTATGATAAGAATAGTGACCCAAGGTAGTGAGAGACAGTTAGAAATGACCCCAAAAAGAGACCTAGGCCAGGAAGGAAGTGGGAGCTTTCACAGGAATACAGCCTAGACCTCTCCATTGTAGCCACATATGGAATCAGCCTTACATGTGGGACCTTATGTGCTTTAAGAGCTCTGGGACTTTTTGGCCACATAGACAAGAGGAGAACAGTATTTCAACCCAGGCGTACTCAATATTTCCAATTAAGATATAGTCCTGACCCTATTATTCAATTAACTTTGATGCCAGAAGTCAAAGCCAGAACTGGGACCCACAGCTCTTAAGTATTGGTCCCTATCCTGCCTATGCCTATAGCCAGCCGCACTGGTTTTCAAGTTCTATGATCATTTTGCTACAATTATGTTAGGGTGAAAATCTGTATGTCAAAAGTGTTAAATGCTAATTATTTTTAAGTGCATGAGACCTGGGGCCTTCTCTTTCTACTTGCACTCTGCTTATAATAGTTTCTATTTGTAGATCTCAGGCCTTCACGAAGACCTCCATCAACTCACAAAAGTACTTGTCTCTATTAGAGTGGCATGTGGTCATTTGAGTAAAAAACTTATGTGGGTATCCAATTCATAGGCATCCTGTCCATCCGAGACAAGTGTTAATTTTATTAGCCTGTCAACTGAAGCCCCTTTCCTCTTAGCCATACCAATTTTTTCTGCCAAATTACTACACAATATCTTAGTGAAAGCACTAAACATTAAATGACAAAAACAGTGGCATTTTGGTGAGTAACACTCAGTGGGGTGCTGACATATAGTTCGGGTAAGATTAAAAAACACCAAAGGCTGAAATCTGTGAGTACCAGGAACTGTGCATATAGGTTTAGAAATTGACTATGTACCCTAGAATGTGCAGTGCAATATTTTCAATAGGTGATTTTTAATGAACACTAGATTTTTGAAATAATATATTTCTAATTAGGACTATACTGTTTTTCAATGATCCATCAAAACATCATACAGAATATTTATTTAGTTTATTATGTATTGGCTAAGTTTAGGGGGCCTCAGATTCCATATGTCTTCAGTGGATTGATGACTTTCAGGTTAATTTGTGCCTGCCTCAGCCATCTCTGTTTTATCCTGAGGTATTCCACAATCCTCTTGTTGCAGGTGCTGCTAAAAATCTCAAAATTGTGTATCGGATATTTTCTTCCAACTGTAAAAAACCATCTGTGTTAAAGTGAATAAAAAGTGCATTTTGAATAACCAACATACAATGTTTGTGTTTCTTCCCTCCCTTTCTCTTTTTAAGCAGTTGGTGGGTCTGATCAACAGTACTCATCAATCAAGTCACTCTTCCAGACTGCACTGGATGTGCCCCTGGATCACTTTTCACATGGCACTCCAAGCAACCACTGCCTAGTGATCAGACAGATACTACTGTACTGATGGGAAAGAAAACTCAAAAGATTGGAGTGGGGAGGTTCCTTTTATTTAATACCACTTTCTAATGCATGAAGAGTATTGGGGCTGGAAATTGGATCTTAACTCTCCACTTTATTTCTTTATCAATTTAAAACAAATGTTAAACCATCAAAAAATATAAGCAAATAAGGCTGGTCACGGTGGCTCACACCTGTAATCCTAGCACTCTGGCAGGCCGAGGTGGGAGTGATCACCTGAGGTCAGGAGTTGAGACCAGCCTAAGCCAGAATGAGACTCCATCTCTACTAAAAATAGAAAAATTAGCCGGGCGTCATGGTGTGCGCCTATAGTCCCAGTTACTCGGGAGGCTGAGGCAGGAGGATCACTTGAGCCCAGGAGTTTGAGGTTGCTGTGAGCTAGGCTAACGCCAGGGCACTCTAGCCCAAACAACAGAACGAGACTCTGTTTCAAATATATATATATATATATATATATATATATATATATATATATATGTATACACACACACATACACACACACAATATACTTATTCCCTTTATTTTCTTGACTGGTGAATTGTCCAGACCTTAGGGAAACATGAATATATAGGCAAAATAAATCAGAAAACAAAGGATAATTTTGTTCAATATTCTATTCTCTTGCGTCTCACATATTGGACTTTAATAATACATTAGCATCAAATGACTTGAATATCCATAATGGTGGCTTTTAAGTTACGGACACAAGTCTCTCCACAGCACATAATTTCATTACATTGATTCCATCTGCCACAGATTTAGCCCTCTTCTCCCCTCCATCTACTCTTGCCTATTGGAACTTTGGGCAGTTAAAATTGGGAAGAAAGAAAAACTCAGACTTTTTGCCACACGTACCATTTCCATCTCTGAGGATTATCGTTTAACAAATTATTATACCAGGCTTCAAATACAGCACCCCAAATCATTTTGACTAGGCTACAATGGTACATACAACTTTTAGGCTACAGAAGGTCATAGATTTACAAACCCCTTAAAAAGGATTTGCTCATCCAGAACTGACATTTTAAAAGCAGAAAGCTAGCTTTCTGTCTTTGCTGGTTTTCTGCCTGATTCATCACCCAGTAGAAAATCTCCTTCTCATGACGTCTTAAGAAATAATATAGTCTCATTTTTTGGAAATGGTTTGGCAATGGTCCTTTCAGAAAGTGAAGGGTGTGGGATACCTGGTTTCCCTTCAATCCTATAATTATATTTTTTAAAACACACTGGAAAATTGAGACATCAATTTGAGTAATTTCAAGATGGGAACTGGAGTGGGCTCCTCTACTTTCATTCGAATTACCCAAAGTAGTTCCTGCAGCAATTTTTTTTTACCTCAATGATCCAAATAATCATTGCACTTTTTTTACTCCTTAATGTGGAGATGTAGGATTTACTACAGTGGAGTTCTTTTCTTTCTTTCTTTCTTTTTTTCGTGTTTGTTTGTTTGTTTGTTTGTTTGTTTGTTTTTTAAGACAGAGTCTCACTCTGTTGCCTGGGCTAGAGTGCCGTGGTGTCAGCCTAGCTCACAGCAACCTCAAACTCCTGAGCTCAAACGATCCTCCTGCCTCAGCCTCCTGAGTAACTGGGATTACAGGCATGCACCACCATGCCTGGCTAATTTTATATATATACATATATATTATTTTTTAGTTGTCCAGCTAATTTATTTCTATTTTTTCCAGTAGAGATGGGGTCTCGCTCTTGCTCATGCTGGTCTCGAAACGCTGAGCTCAAAGGATCCTCCTGCCTCGACCTCCCAGAGTGCTAGGATTACAGGCGTGAGCCACCACACCAGGCCTCTTTTCTTATACTTGATTTTAGGGCAGATAAACTGGAATACACTTAGTCCGTTCAGGCTGCTATAAAATAATACCATAAACTGGGCAGCTTATAAACAACAGAAATTTATTTCTCACAGTTCAGGAGGCTGGGAAGTCTAAAATCAAATCACCAACAGATTCAGTGTCTGGTAAGAACCAGATCTCTGGTTCATACTTCATAGATGGCACTTTCTAGCTGTATGGAGGGGGCAAGGGGTCTCTCTTGGGCCTGTTTTATAAGAGCACTAATGCCGTTCATGAGGGCTCCAACCTTGTGACCTAATCACCTCCCAAAGGCCTCACCTCCTAATACCATCACCTCGGGGGTTAGTATTTCAACTTATGAATTTTGGGTGGACACATTCAGATCATAACATACATATTTTGTTTAAATGGTAATATATGTGTATGATTTGAGATATTCACTAATGTTCCATTTTTCCAAACTGATCTCTTTAAATTTCCTCAAGTTTCCCTCACCATCACCAACAGAGCCTCAGCTTCCCAAGTAGCTGGGACTACAGGCATGCACCACCGCTCCCAGCTAGAGCTCTCATTCTTTACTCCTTTCTCTTTAAGAGAAGGAAGGGATAATGACATAAGCTAGGCATGTTTACAGAATAAAAGAAAAATTATTAAATGCTCCCTATTGATATGCTTGCAAAAACTGATGAGCAAAGATCTGTTTTATTTTGCCGGTGGAGGTGATGTTTATTTAAGCTTTTTTTTTTTTTAAGGGGGTGAAGGGTTACTGAATGTTTTTCCAGTGAGAATAAGCATCTTCACAGCTCAAGATGTGAAGGAGCTGTCACCTGTAGTCATACAGGAACTGCCGCAGTGATCTGTGTGTCTTCATAAATTTCTTTGTCTTCTCCAAGGAAACACCGAGAGTTATGATTCAGCCATACACAAATGCCTTTTGAAATGGTGGATTTTGTGTGTGCCAGTATATATTTTTTTAAATAATCTGTCAGTCCCTTTCATACTCTATGAACTGTGGGTAAGTGTTTAATGAGTCTCACTGTAGCACTCTTGAATTTTAATCAGACCAGGCAAGCTGTGCTGCTTCTACTTAATTGATTGATAAAAAGGAATTGGGAAACGCTGCCTTAATGAAAGAAATAGCTTTTAATCCAACATTAGCTGTATTGATTAGAGTGAAAATACAAACCATGCCTTCCTGTGGTGCGTTCGTGAGGAAGCGAGAAATAGGCTCATATCTTCTCTTTTCCCTGACATTGTTCCTGGCTGCCTTAGAAACAATATATCCAAGGGTGCGTCCTGTAATACTGCTCAACACAGAGTCTGCTGATGGATGAACAAGTGGCAGTAACCTTTGAATCTTCTTTTTTTCCATTTGTTCCCAGCTAGAAAACTTAGTATTACCAGTAAATGCTTTACAACTTTGTCTTTTTTGTTTTCTGATTACAAAAGTTATGCACATCCATGGTAGAAAAATGAGGGAACAAAAGAAATGGGAAAGCAAGATAAAGAAAATGAAAGTCGGCTAGGAGCGGTGGCTCCAGCCTGTAATCCTAGCACTCTGGGAGGTCGAGGCGGGAGGATCCTTTGAGCTCAGGGGTTCGAGACCAGCATGAGCAAGAGCGAGACCCCCATCTCTACTAAAAAATAGAAAGAAATTAGCTGGACAATTAAAAAACATATATGGAAAAAATTAGCCAGGCGTGGTGGCACATGCCTGTAGTCCCGACTACTCGGGAGGCTGAGGCGGGAGGATTGCTTGAGCCCAGGAGTTTGAGGTTGCTGAGAGCTAGGCTGACACCACAACACTCTAGCCCAGGCAACAGAGTGAGACTCTATCTCAAAAAAAAAAAAAAAAAAAAAAATTTGATGTCACACGGTGCACACTGATTGTAATCTCCTCCATTTCATATATATAGTACTGAACTTTTCTCTACATCATTGTGTATTCTTCTAAAGGATTACATTTAATGCTTGCATAATAGTCTATTGAAGGATTTACAACAATATAGGTAATCAAACACTTATTGCTAGACATTTAGGTTGTTTTCCAGGTGCCTTCTTTTCATAAAAATAAAGCAGCAGTGAACATTCCAAATATTAATCTTAATCCACATCTCTGTTTATTTCCTATAAGTAAAATTTCTAGGTCAACGAATATGAATATTTTTATGGCTTTTAATATATATTGGCAAATTGCCTTCTTGAAAGCTGTCGCAAATGACATCAACACCAGTCGAATAAGAGAAGGCCTATCTTTCCAAACACCCACACGTATGGAATATTATCTTCCTTTTAACCACATTTGCCCAATTTGATAGATGAAAAAATGATCTCATGTTTTCATTTGCATTTATTTAACTCTTTGAGAGTAATAGTTGTTCATACATTTGTTGACCATTTTTATTTTTTCTTGAACGAATGGACCATTATGGTCCTTAGTCTATTTGGGATGGGGAACATTCATTTTTGTTTCTTATTGATTTCTAGAGACTCTTTTTTACACTGTGGGTATTGACCTTTGATCTTAGCCATATCTCCGGTTTTCTGCTATCCCCTCCCATATCTCTTGCCTTTTAATTTTGTTTATTATATTGTTAATGTACACTACCATATTATTGAAAGGGTTATGTTCTTATAAAATAGGAAACTGTGGTGAGTGGAGGAGAGAGAAATGCCTATTTGATTTGTCCTTTGTTCCTGATCACATTTCAGACTATATGTAGTATTTTTGTTTGGAAAGGTTAAGTGTGTAATCTTGTATCAACATGATAAAAAGAATTGGTAAAAAAAAGAATATTCATTCATCCATCTGCATGATGTCAAATGGCTGGTTTGAACTGAGTTTATTATTATAGTGGACAGATTATTCTGGAATCTTGTACAAATACAATGGTAGAAACAGTTCAGCTTTCAACCACAAGGGGGCAATAAAGACCGGTTAGTGATCTGCAATAGACTAAATTTTTTGATTACAGATTGTTAGAGCTGAATGTACGCC